ATGAAATTTCCTGGAGTCAAGTTCCCAACTTTAGTGTGACAGTGCCTTTAGTGTCCCATGGAGACTAAAGGCTAGAAATTTTGAATAAAATCTGAATAATTTAGAATTAACTACAAGTCAGAATAAGATAGGCCATTTCAGTAAATTACTGCACTTCCAATTTTAGTCTCAAACCCTGGACTCCTAAACTAAGACACAATCACCAATGACAGCGCTGCCGCGTCACAGAGTCTCATGCTTCCCATTTACTCATAAAGGGACAATCGGGGCAATTACACAACGTGCCGCAAGCAGATCTCTCGTGGGCCAGGACTCAGCGAACACAGCATTATCCCCGAGGCCTTGGGGGGACCCTGACGACGGCGTGGCGCTAGCTCGGGTGCTGGGACTCTTGGCGACGGGACTGGGGCCTCCGATGGCCAGCGACGGGCAGAGCTGCATGCACCGCCCCACACCCCACGCCTCCAGGCTCGGTCACCCTCTATCCCTGCCAGGTCCGTGTGGACAGCGCCCCTCTGCGGACGGGGTGTCGCGGACCCGACTCCCAGCAGGAGGCGAGAGCGCCGGGGACGCGGCGGCGAGGTGCAAAAGGCGAGAGCAGGAGGACCCGAGATCTGGGGCAGCTCGTGGCCCGTGGAGCATCTGTGCTGGGACCGAAGCAGGAGGCGAGGAGCTCGCGCGGGCGGAAACGCAGGTCCTCTTTGAGAGGTAAAACATGGCCTTTTCTTCTTACTAAATGGAAAGGTCCCACCGAGATTTGAACTCGGATCGCTGGATTCAGAGTCCAGAGTGCTCACCATTACACCATGGAACCACCACACGGTAAGGCCTTACTCCCTTATCCGAGGTGTGGAATAGTTACTGTATTTAGCACCCAAGGTGAGACGGGGAAGTGGTCGTGGTGGGAGCTATCCTGATGGGGGTCAGTGAACAGAACTACCCTGGGAATGTAACTCCTCCTCCTCCTCCCATTTTATCCTCTCGTCTCCTCATCCCCTTTA